GCCCGTTGGCGGCCTTCGCCTCGGGGTCCAGCTCCGGCGCAAGCACGCCGGCCGGCTTCCGGGGCGGCCTTCTTGGGGGGGGCCGCCGCCGCTGGCGACGACTGCGGCCGACGGCACCGCCGCCGGCGAGCGGCGGACGACCCCTTGCACTAGCGGGTGGTCGGGCCACGGAGATCGCCACCAAGACACGTCGGCGATGCAAAACTGCAGGTTGGGCTCCGCCTGCTCCGGGTGCGGCGCCGGCGCCGGCGAGGAGGGTCCCGAGGCAGCGAGAGGAGATGCCGAGCTCAAGGCCGCCGAGGCAGCGGGCGGCGAGGCGGCGGGCGGCGATGCGGCGCCCGCCCCGACGGCGCGGACGGCGTGCGCTATGCAGGCGATGGCGGCGCCCGTCGCCATCGGCGTCTCGCCACTCGCCACCGACAGCGCGTGCGCCTTTGTGCCCTCGCGCGCCATCCCGACCTCGCCCCACGGGCCAAAGTTGACGGTGAGGACGCGCGGCGGCGAGCCGAGCTCGGCGGGCGGCGGCGGCAGGCCGAAGGCCGCGGCGTGGTCAAAGATGGCGTTGGCGGCGCAGTAGTTTGCTTGGCCCGCGTAGCCCAGCAGCGACGACGTGGAGGAGGAGAGCATCACCCATGGCGGCGAAGCGGAGGCGCGGGCGAGCTGCCGCAGCAGCGGCAGCACGCCCGCCTTTGGCGCCACCACGGAGCCGATCCGCGCCTCGTCGAGGTTCGAGATGAGGCCGTCGTCGAGCACGCCCGCGAGGTGGAAGAGGCCGCCGAGCCGCGGCAGCGCCGCCCCGAGCGCCGCGAGGCCGGCGCACCCGCGCAGCGAGTCGGCATCGCCGAGGTCGGCAGCGAGCGACGTGACGCCGCGCGGGTGCGGCGCGCCGCGGCGCGAGAGCAGCACGACGTGCGCGGGCGGCACGCCCTGCGCGTCGAGCAGCCACTCCACCAGCGCGCCGCCCAGCCCGCCCGAGCCGCCGGTGACCAGGTAGGACGCGGCGGGGTCGAGAGCGGGCACGTCGGCGGGAGGAGGCGGAGGCAGCGAGGCGAGGCGGGGCGCGCGCGGCGGCCCGCCCGCCGCGTCGAGGAGCAAGTCGCACTCCTCCCGCCGCGCGGCGGACGAGGCG